GTTGTCTGTGATATTAAATTCCGACCTGTCTCCGTTTGTGTCGAACTCGTTTAGGTATTATTTGCATAACAAACCCTTGTTACTGTCTTTGTACTGACAAAATGGAGTCCACTTCGGGTAGGGAGCTTGTTACAGTGGCATCTTTAGAGTATGGGGTCGGTCATGGGGGGATGTCCGAGGTGGATAGGTATGCCATGGCCGAGGAGGCTGTAGATTATACCCAGGAGTGGGGGGCTTCTAGAGTGCCCTCGAATATGACGGGGAAGAGGTTGGGGGAACTTAGGGAGAGGTATAGTGTACCCCATAACATAGAAATGTTAGTGCTCGAGCTGAACGAGCGGGCCTGCTATCAGAGGCCCGGCTGCGTGGCCGTGAGTGAATACCTGTTTAAGGCAGGTATGCGTCTTCCTCTGCACCCTTTTTTTAGGGCGGTGCTTAGGAAATTTATGCTGTCGCCGACCCAGGTGTTGCCGAATGGGTGGAGCCAGCTGGTCGGCTCGTACTTCCTGTGGAAGGAAGTGTCACTTGGGGAGGACATGCCTCTTCATGTGTTCATGACCCTGTTCCAGCCCCGGGTAATTGGGAAGGAGTCAAGGGGGTGGTACTACCTCACGCCTTGGGGGGCTCACGCACCCTTTGTGGTGAGACTTCCTTCCTCTATCAAGGGGTGGAAGGAGTCCTGGTTCTGGGTGCGAGGTAAATGACAGGCAGTGGAGGGTGACAAGCCCTGTCATGCACAGTACCGACCCAGTACTATGAAGCTCATGAGTCTCCCGACCTCTGCTTGTCTTTTGAAGTCAGAATATGAATTCGTCTAACTGTTGGAGGTTCCTTTGCAGATAGTAGTACGAGGTTCGAGCTCAGCAGGGAGGAATTCGAGGTGATAGAGGACATTTACAAGAGGCATCTGAAGCTTCAGCACTTCGATCACCTGATTGATAGAAGCAGATACTTTTTGGACTTCGAGCTGATGGCATCCAGAGGTATGAGGCCCCAACACTTGATCCCTTGTTTTTATCCTTATTGTTTCTTATTCTGATGCTGATCTGACATATTGTGCAGACAAATTCAAGAAGAGGGAGTACCCAGCTCCGGACATGGCCTCTATCTTGAAGGCCACTTCCACTGCGAAGGCGAGGCCCCTGAAGCCTGGGTCCAGTGGGGCAAAGGAAGTCCGAGGCAGGGTTGAGCGCCTGTCCAAAGACTACACTCCCAGGGCTTCGGAGGAGGCAACTACTCAGAGGCCAGAGAAGCCTAAGGAGCCTCGGGGCAAGGAGAAAGTCTCTGAGGAGACTAAGAAGAGGAAGCTGGTGCACATCTCCAGCTCAGCTGGCAAGTTTGGGACCTCAGTGTCCCATAGGGCCGAACAGACTGGAGAGCTGAAGCTTCTTGCTGCAGCCTCTAAAGCCATCAAAATGGAGATGGTAAGAGAGGTAGAGGCCGAAGAGGCTAGAGTTGAGGCTGCAAAGCGAGCTGCCGTCGAAGAAGAGGCAGCAAAAGAGAAGCCGGTTCGGGAGAAGGGGAAGTCTCCAAACTTCCTAGCTGGGAGGGAGGAGAAGCTGGCCCCAGCCTTGGTGGAGGCTCTCCCTGAGGAAATCAGAAGTGCCACCGAGAGCTTTTACAAGTTCTGGACAGAGAGGTGGCAGCTGCATGCCTCGTCTTGTGATGCCACAGACTTAACAAGGGCACTGGTGAGTCAAAGCGCCCGAACCTTTGGCCTCACGCTCGAATGCAGGGAGGCCTTGAGCGGATTCCAGACAAGGACCCACGCCTCGGAGGGGAAGGCTGCCTCCCTTGCAGAGGAGGTTAAAGCTGCTAAGGCCGAGGCTGAAGAAGCCAAAGCCCAGAGGGTTGAAGAAGCGGCGAAGCTTGAGTCTGCTTTGGCCCAAATTGAGGCCCTAAAGAAGGAAGTATATGAGTCACAGTGAGAGGTGGCCTCCTTGACAAAGAAGGTGGAGGTCTCCAATGAGCACCAAAAGGTGACTGCTGAGGCTCTTGAGAAGGCGAATCTCTCCTTGGCCGGTGCTCGAGATGCCTATCAGTTTCTCGAAGGCGAGGCGAAGTGGTACATGAACGACGCCTCGGTTGCCAGAGAAGAGGCCCGAACTGCAAGGGAGGAGGCGGTGAAGGAATACATCGCCAATTTCCATACTACAGAGGAGTACAAAAGCTTCAGCTCGTACTGGAGGAACTTCGCCTATGCCGAAGTGTTAGAGAGGGCAGAGGAGCTGTATCCCAATTTGGACCTGGCTCAACTTAGGTCCGAATTTGTCGATGAGGTACCTCAGACCCTAGCCGAGGAGGTCCAGGGTGATGAAGAAGTTGATGTCGAAGCCCCAAGTGCCGAGGCAGAGAAAACAACTATTGATGCCCAAGTTGCTGAAGCCCCTATTGCCAAGGCTCCTCCGTCATCTAGCCAGGCATAGACTAGGTTTTATTTTTCAGTAATTTGGATGTAATGGCCAGAGGCCCTCCTTTTTAACCTTTGGAATATCAATATAATGTCTTTCTTCTTTCATTGTTGCTTTTTGTCTAAGTTTTTATACCTCGTTAAACAAATGATCTGGAACTTGATGTAAGCATGAACTAAATAACTTTGTGAACCTCGGACTGAAATAAATGAGCATAACTTGAGGAGATGAGTTGTGCGAACCTCGGATTTAAGCAAATTAACATGACTTAAGGAGATGAACAGCGTGAACCCCGGACTTAAGCACATTAACATCACTTAAGGAGATGAACAGTACGAACCTCAGACTTAAGCAAATTAACATGACTTAAGGAGATGAACAACGTGAACCTCTGACTTAAGCATATTAACATGACTTAAGGAGATCGGACTTAAGCCAACAGTGTGAGCCTCGGACTATAGGGTTGTGGCTTCTCCCTTTGGCGCTCAGCAAGGTCAAAGGGAGGCATGTGCTAGCGTCTCGGAGTTCAAGCGAGGTGGCCCAGAGGTGGGTCCTGAGCCTCTCCTCCGAGGTGACGACTCATCCTAGACATGGTGGATGGTGCAGCCATGTTGGGGCTTCTCCCCTTGGCGTTCAGCAAGGCTAAAGGGAGGCATGTGCTAGCGCCTCGGAGTTCAAGCGAGCTGGCCCAGAGGTGGGTCCCGAGCCTCTCCTCCGAGGTGACGACGCATCCCAGACATGGTGGATGGTGCAACCATGTTGGGGCTTCTCCCCTTGGTGTTCAGCAAGGCCAAAGGGAGGCATGTGCTAGCGCCTCGGAGTTCAAGCGAGCTGGCCCAGAGTTGGATCCCGAGCCTCTCCTCCGAGGTGACGACGCATCCCAGACATGGTGGATGGTGTAGCCATATTGGGGCTTCTCCCCTTGGCGTTCAGCAAGGCCAAAGGGAGGCATGTGCTAGCGCCTCGGAGTTCAAGCGAGGTGGCCCAGAGGTGGGTCCCGAGCCTCTCCTCCGAGGTGACGACGCAGTATGACACGGTTTAATCAATGCATTTTATTGAGCCATAGAAATATTACAAAGGTTGGGAAAGTCATCCAGCATGATACAATTCATTGATAAAAGATTCTGAGGTGTTCAATGTTCCATGGACGGGGTTGTGCCTTGCCGTCCATGTCTTCAATCCAGTAGGTTCCAGGTCAGATTTCTTCTCTGATCTTGTATGGACCTTCCCAGTTCGGCCCCAGAGAACAGGAGCCAGGTTCTTTTGAAGATGGGAAGACCCTCCTGAGCACAAGATCGTTGATTCGGAACGACTTTTTCTTGACTTTGGAGTTGAAGTACCTTGTCATCTTTCTTTGATAGGTGCCTAGTCTCAGCTGGGAGTCATCCTTTCTCTCCTTAATGATATCGAGGTCGAGCCTCCGGAGCTTGTCGTTGGTCACTTCTTTGAATTACAGACGACGTGGAGATGGGAGTCTGACCTCCACGGGGCTCATTGCCTCAGTCCCAAAAGCCATGAGAAAAGGGGTCTCCCCAGTTAGGGTCCTGGTGGTGGTTCGGATTGCCCAAAGTACTTGGGGTAGCTCATCAACCCAACCTCTCTTGGATACATCAAGCTTCCTTTTCAGGACGTGCTTGATTGTCTTGTCTACGGCTTCAACTTGGCCATTAGCTTGTGGGTGGTGAGGTGTAGATAAGTGCTTCTTTATGCCAAGATCTTCACACAGTTCTCTAACCTTTTTGTTATCGAATTGCCTGCCATTGTCTGAGACGATCAAGTAGGGAATTCAGAACCGGCAAATAATATTCTTCCATAGGAACTTGGAGGTGTTTGCTTCTGTGATTTTTGCCAGTGGTTCAGCTTCGACCCACTTCGTGAAGTAATCAATGGCCACTATTGCAAAACTTGCACCTCCTCTTCCCTTAGGTAGAGGGCCTATGAGGTCCACACCCCACTTTGAGAAAGGTCAGAGGCTGGAGACTGCAGTTAAATCCTGTGACGGTCGTCTTTGAACGGGAGAAAATCGTTGGCACTTATCACATTTTCGCACAAATTCGAGCGCATCCCGTTTCAGGGTAGGCCAGTAGTATCCTTGCCTCAATATTTTTTGTGCCAAAGATAGACCTCCGGAGTGATTACCGCACATGCCCTCATGGACTTCTCTTAATATGTAAGTAGCCTCTTCTCCTCCAACGCATCATAAGAGTGGGGAGGAGAAGCTCCTCTTATAGATAACATCATTAATGAAGAGGAAATGGGCTGACCTCTTCCTTAGGTTGTAGGCCTCATGCTTGTTAGTGGGAAGTACATGGTCTTTGAGGTATGCTACGATTGGCTGCATCCAGGTAGGGGTCCCAGCGACCAACATTACATTGGGGGCTTTGGTCAATGGTAGGAGCAGGTGCTCTATAGGTACTACTGTGAGTAGTTCTGAATCCTTGCTACTAGCGAGCTTGGAGAGTGCATCTACATGAGAATTTTCGATGCGAGGGATCTGGGTTAGTTCAAATTTCTCAAAGCATGGGATCTTCTCTCCTCAATGATATCGAGGTCGAGCCTCTGGAGCTTGTCGTTGGTCACTTCTTTGAATTACAGACGACGTGGAGATGGGAGTCTGACCTCCACGGGGCTCATTGCCTCAGTCCCAAAAGCCATGAGAAAAGGTATCTCCCCAGTTAGGGTCCTGGTGGTGGTTCGGATTGCCCAAAGTACTTGGGGTAGCTCATCAACCCAACCTCTCTTGGATACATCAAGCTTCCTTTTCAGGACGTGCTTGATTGTCTTGTTTACGGCTTCAACTTGGCCATTAGCTTGTGGGTGGTGAGGTGTAGATAAGTGCTTCTTTATGCCAAGGTCTTCACACAGTTCTCTAACCTTTTTGTTATCGAATTGCCTGCCATTGTCTGAGACGATCAAGTAGGGAATTCAGAACCGGCAAATAATATTCTTCCATAGGAACTTGGAGGTGTTTGCTTCTGTGATTTTTGCCAGTGGTTCAGCTTCGACCCACTTCGTGAAGTAATCAATGGCCACTATTGCAAAACTTGCACCTCCTCTACCCTTAGGTAGAGGGCCTATGAGGTCCACACCCCACTTTGAGAAAGGTCAGAGGCTGGAGACTGCAGTTAAATCCTGTGACGGTCGTCTTTGAACGGGAGAAAATCGTTGGCACTTATCACATTTTCGCACAAATTCGAGGGCATCCCGTTTTAGGATAGGCCAGTAGTACCCTTGCCTCAGTATTTTTTGCGCCAGAGATAGGCCTCCAGAGTGGTTGCCGCACACTCCCTCGTGGACTTCGTGGGCAGCGCCTGGTCTTTCAGATATGCTATGATTGGTTGCATCCAGGTGGGAGTTCCACCGACCCACATGACATTAGGGGCCTCGGTAGAAGGCAGGAGGATGTGCTCGATAGGCACTACAGTGAGTAGCTCTGAGTCTTTGCTACTGGCCAGCTTCGAGAGTGCATCCGCATAAGCATTTTCGATGCGGGGAATCTGGGTTAACTCGAACTTTTCAAAGGATGGGATGAGGTTCATCACCATTTTCAGATAGGAGGCCATCGTTTTGTTTTTGACTGAGAAATTACCATTGACTTGGCTAACAACCAGCTGGGAGTCACTACTGACGAGTAGCTTCTTTACTTGCATTTCCTTGGCCAGTCTGAGGCCTGCAAGGAGTGCTTCATACTCTGCAACATTGTTGGTGGCTTTGAATCCGAACCTCACGGCCGAGGTGAATTTGTGACCCTCGGGGCTGATGAGGACAACCCCGGTACCTGAGCCGACCTCCCCAGCTGAGCCATCGACCAAGAGGCTCCACGTGGGGGGTTCGACGGATTCCATGATTTCATCCACCTCGGGTAGGTTGGCGAATTCAGCAACAAAGTCAGCTAAAGCTTGCCCTTTGATGGCTGCCCTAGCTTTGAACACAAGGTCAAATTCACTTAGTTCCACTACCCATTTCAACAATCTTCCCAAGGCATCGGGCTTTTGGAGAACTTGCCTTAGGGGAAAATTTGTAAGTACATGGATGGTATGAGCTTGGAAGTAGGGTCTCAACTTCCTAGAGGCCGTGATTAAGGCCAAAGCAAGCTTCTCCATATCGGGGTATCGGGTCTCCAGCGATAGGAACGCTTTACTCGTATAGTAGACGGGAAGTAGGGTGGACCCTTCTTCTCGAATCAGAACCGAACTGATGGCGTCATTGGAGATGGCAAGATATAGTTGCAAGATGTCTCCGGGCTTCGGCTTGGAGAGGAGGGGGGCCTGCCCAAAATGCCTTTTCAATCCTTGGAAGGCCTCTTCACATTCCTCAGTCCATTGGAATTTCTTCCCAGCCTTGAGCACTTTGAAAAATGGGAGGCACTTGTCAGTTGCTTTGGAGACGAAGCGACTAAGTGCTGCCACTCGTCTAGTTAAGCTTTGCACCTCCTTTGGCTTTTGAGGGGACCTCATCTGGCACAGAGCCTCAATCTTCTCGGGATTTGCTTCAATTCCTCGCTGGTTGACCATGTACCCCAAGAACTTGCTGGAAGCCACCCCAAAGGCACATTTCAAGGGGTTGAGCCTCATCCTGTACCTTCTCAGGATTTGGAAGGTGTTGTTGAGGTGCGCTACGTGGTTTTCTGCCTCTAAGCTCTTCACCAGCATGTTATCCACGTAGACCTCCATTGTCTTGCCAATGAGGTCGGTAAACATTTTGTTCACGAGTCTTTGGTAGGTTGCTCCGGCGTTTTTCAACCCGAAATGCATCATTCTATAGCAATAGAGACCTTGGTCCGTGATAAAAGAGGTATGCTCTTCATCGGTCGGGTGCATGGGGATCTGGTTGTAGCCGGAGTATGCATCCATGAAGCTCAACAACTCGTGCCCAGCCGTGGAGTCCGCCAATTGGTCAATCCTTGGAAGCGGAAAGCTGTCTTTCGGGCAAGCTCTATTAAGGTTGGTAAAGTTGATGCATACTCTCCATTTGCCATTGTGTTTCTTAACCAAGACCGGGTTGGAGACCCACCTCGGATAGGTGGCCTCCTTGATGAAGCCATTTTGGATGAGCTTCTGAACCTCTTCCATTAGGGCCTCATACCTCTCAGGGTTGAGGGCTCTCCTTTTTTGTCTATGTGGGGCAACATTAGGATCAATTTTCAAGTGGTGGCAGCTGATCTTGGGGTCTATGTCCACCATGTTCTCATGCCTCTAAGCAAAGACGTCAAGGTTCTTGCCTAGGAAGTCCTTAATCTTTTCTCTCAAAATGTTGGATAGGCCTCTGCCTACTTTCAACACCTTGGACGGATCTCGGGGGTCGGCTGAGAAGCTCTCAAGTTCCTCTACAGGGGATGCTTGAGGCTCATGTTCCATTATGCGGGGGTCGATTTCATCAACGATCAGCACCTCCTGAATAAGCGGTGCGTCGATCATATCAACATCTTCCTGGTCAGTGGGAGCGTCACCTGGGATATCCGCCATGACCACATCAGCCATGATCACGTGGACGTCCCGGGGCTCTACCTTTTTAATGGAGCTCAGATAGCACTCTCTCGAACCTCTCTGGTCGCCTCTCACCATTGCCACCCCATTTTCTGTTGGGAATTTCATGCATAGGTGGTGGATGGAGGTGACTACTCCCAATTCCTTTAGGACCGGTCTGCCCAAGACTCCGTGGTAAGCCGACCGACTGTCAACTACGAGGAATTCCATGAAGTTCATCGTAGTTTGAGGAGATTCTCTCATCTCCACTGCCAGTGTTATCTTTCCTCTCGGAGTGATGCTATCTCCGATAAATCTATACAATGGAGTGGTGGTGGGCGTCAACTGATGGTCCAATATCATCTTGTCGAAGGCGGACCCGAATAGGATGTTGACGGAGCTGCCGTTGTCGACTAGCATTCGTTTGAGCCCATTTCGGGCTATGACAGCCCTCACCACCAGCGCATCGCAGTGGGGGTAATGAACTCCTTCGGTGTCTTCCTGGGTGAAGACAATGGGTGGTACTTGGTTTCTTCGAGAGCTACTATCCATAATGTAACTCGTCAGAGGGGGGTGCTTAGCCTCCCTAGCATAATTTCTTTTGGCGTTCCGTGTTTCACCGCCAACATAAGGGCCTCCAAATATGGTATCTATCTCGTGGATAGGGGCCTCATCTTGAGCTTGCCTATTTCTTCGGTGTCTACGCCCTTCCCTGGGCCTCTCTGTGTCTTGCTCTCGTCGCCTTGGGGATACATCCCTTTGACGAGGAGCGGCCGCCTCACGCCCATATCGATTGTCTTGCCTGGGCGGGGGCCTGTTCGCCCGGGGCGAGTTATGTCTTTCTCTAACGGGTTCCTGCTGGGAGCGGTGTGCATAGTCTCTGCAATCCACGGTGTCGTGCCCGTAGGACCTATGGTGCAAACAGTATCCAGGGAGGTTCGGATTGGACCTATTTCTAGGTGCAGAACCTCAGCCTCGGCCTCTTCCTCTACGGGGTCCTTGCTGGGCCTCCATCTGATGTGGGTCAACAGTTGGGTTGACATCCTTATATGCCAAGGTTGGAACTGCGTTCAAAGTTGTGGTGGCCAGGGCTTGGCCGGAGTTCTCATTTCCGGCTCGGTTCATCTGGTAGTCCATGAGGTGGGAGGTCGGTCCCCTACCTCGCTGTCTTTGAGGAGGTGGGAGGCATCTGCTTGCCCTGTTCCTATGCTCAATCAATTCTTCATTGATTATCTCCCTTCTCATCATCTCTAGTAGGGCGTCATAGGTGGTTGGGTCTTGATTCTGCACATCCCTCCAGAATAGGGTGTTCATGTTTAAGCCTCCTCTCAATGCAGATAGTGCTTCTCTGTCGGTGACTTGTACACAGTGGTCATCTCGTCGGTGAAGTGGGATAGGAAGCCTTTCAAGGACTCGCCATGCGCTTGCCTCATGTCTTGAAGACGTTGGATAGGGGCCTCTCCTTCCTTGCTCACTACAAACCTCTTCAAGAAAGTAGTTTTGAACTCGGGCCAGCTTCGAATGCTCCCAGATGGTAGCCTACTATACCAGATTTCAGCCGCTCCACTGAGGGTTAGATAGAATGCTCTGCACTTTATGGCTGGGGTGGTGTCCCTCAGGCTCATGTGAGTTTTATAAGCATTGAGGTGCTTTTCTGGGTCACCTCTCCCATCATACTTTGGTAATTTTGGCATGACATAGTGGCTCGGGACCTGGGCATTTCTTAGTTTTCTTGAGAATGGCAAGTTCTCATCATCATCGTCCAAGTCACAGGACCTCTGCTGTTCATTAGAATCGTAGTCTTCGGCCTCGTACCTCGGTTGTTGGCGAGAGGGTCCGGGCCGGTTACTAGCCTCTTCCTCCCTCCTTTGCGGCCTACTTTCAGGCGGGACAGCGCGAGAGGCATTTTCATGCCTTCCCTCGAGCTGCTGGGGCATCGGAGGTGGAGTCTGTGGCCTCGTTCGAGGCTGCTGAGCCTGCTGTTGACTGGGCCTCGGTTCGGCAGGGCTGATTCTGTCAAAAACACTTCTTTCTCTCCTATGTCTTGGGTCTTGCTCATATGGGGGTGGAAAGTTATCATGGCTCATTTGGACCTCGGTGGGTCGGCCAGATGCATAGTTGGAGGAAATGTCGACTCCCACTTCTCTCTCGAATGGGCTTTCACCTCGACCATAGTCTGGCGAGGCAACCTTATGACTCTGGATCTCGTCCTCTTACTGATAGTGCCCGTGAGGGGCATATGGAGGAATGGTGAAGCCTCCCTGGCCTTGCATTTGGGCCATGAGCTCCCTCATGGCTAAGTTTTGGTTGGCTATATCCCTCATGTTGGCTGCCATGGTAGCCATTTCTCTTGATAATCGTGTTGTCGCACGCATCCCACCTCTCCTTTAGTGGTGGTGGAGCCTCGTCCGAGCTGCTGGGGCAGCAGGCTGGAGAGGCACATTCGTGCTTTCTCTTACCCTCCTTGGGGGAGTATCTTCGTTAGAACTCATTTTTCTTTTATCAAACTTAGATTTCTTTAAGTGATAGGGGTTCCTCCTGTTCTTTTTCAAGAACAAATCCTTTTTCAAGGGGGGTTGCCCAAATATTTTTTTCAGTAAGCTTCTACCACAAGGTTGCTCGTGGTTATGGTATGGTTTCCCACAGACGGCGCCAATCTGTTGACCCCAAAAAGTGCGCCAACAGATGCCGGTCCCACCCGCGCTTGCGTGGGCGAATGTCCAACACGCTAAGACACGTGGACGGTCTAAAACGTGCGGTTTAAAGGGGCGTGGGAGTAGCCCAACGACGCGGGACGGTGACGTTTGGAATCCGGCGGGTTGTTCGTAATTCGATTGTACAATAATTACCAACCGATGCTCGTAAATATATGTGTGAAAGTGTATAAACTCGATTTGTGTATCGCAAGTCAATGAGAGAGAGTTGAGTAAATGTAGTCTTTAGTATTGATTCTTGCATTAGCCTTTGACATTACACAATGTGAGTATTTATAGTGATACATATGAAATGGGAGCCCTTGGATGAAGTGGCACGTGGCCTCATCTCCTTAGTTCAAACGTCTGTTCTTAGGCATGGGACTTGCTAACTTACGACGCATTTATTGCTTGCGCAGGTCCTTTATACTAGTGACAAGACTTGACCTTTATGCTTGTGACAAACGTTCCATCAGTCATTCGAATAAGATCTCTGAGCAGGCGATCTCTTGGGAGAAGTGATAGTGGAGGAAACTCCTTGTGGTTAGGAGGCTCGCGCATCAGCTTCGGGGCTTCGACCATTTGACAAATACCTCCACCTGAGGACCTCGGCTAAATTCAACAGGTTCTATGCTTTGGGTCATGGGGCTCGGTAGTTGGACTTCGGCAGAGTACGTCGGATCGTGGTGCCTCGGTGGATGGACCTCGGCTAGAAGCAGTTCGGATGTAGCCCACCTCGACAATGTGTGTCACCTCGATAGAAACGCCACGTGGGTCAGGATGAGTGGGCCATTGGCCCGGGTGGGTATGACAGGTGTGACAACACGCAACAATGGATATATCAGGGAATTAGAAAATACACCCATTGTATAGGGTATATTTACTCTACATACCATATTTTCTAAATTTACATTTTAAACTATGGTAACCAAAAAAAATTAGAAAAATTAGAATTTTATCATTAAAAATAATTATAATCGAAAATAAGAAATCACACCGTTTATATTACAATATGTAAATTTCGTACTAGTTATTTAATTCTCAAAAAGTTCAATTACTATTTTATTTTTATCTAAAAATTAAAATTTTCTCATTCATCTATTAAGATTTTCTAAACGAAAGATTTTTTTATGAAACTTTCCTGTAGAAAAAATAAAAATTATCTACGCGCAATGGATTTTAATAAAATTATGCATCCAGTCTAAAAAGTATTTTAAGTTGCAAAACTACCAACTTAAAAGGAATAAAAAATTTAAGTTTTAGCTACAAAATAATAACTAATTAAGAAGTTCGTGAGGCTGGATGGAATGAAACTTCTTCCCTCTCTCTTCCCCCAAAAAAAGGAGAGAGATGTCTCCCGGCATAGCATGTTTATTCTCGGTGGCGATTACAGTCCCTTTCCCAGGATCAAGCTACTCCAGAAGATCAGTAGTCTAGCCCAGTTTCTTCCCTTCCAGTCGCTTCCTCAAATTCTAGGCTTTCACTTCGACACGTCTTGACTCGTGAGCGCTTAGAGACCGTCTTCCATCAATAGGTACTCTCAACGCGTCGACCACACGCCCTGGCATAGCCTTTTCCTATAAAAAATTATTTTCATTCATTGTTTTTAATTTTTTTTTCTTTGAATAAAAACTTTTAATTACTATCAATAACAAAATAACATTAAGAACTTATATTTGTTTTTAAAATTTAAAAGAGTTATTTTTTATTGATTTGATTTAAAGTTTAGAAAAATATGAAAATAATTTTTATAAATCTCGCACAAAAAAAAAAAAACCTTTAAATAAATAAAAAAAAACATTTGATAAAAATTTCTTAAATAAAAAATAGTATGCAAAACATTAACATAAAGTTATATTTGTAAATACTTTAGTAAATGGTGCCTTGTAATCATTATGCAAAAGGTATTATGTAAAATTTAAATTTTAAAAAATAGTATATAAACTTTTACAATAGCTGCAAATCAGTCTGATTTACAAGAATCAACATAGCTTTCCGCTATGATCAGTCACCATGAATTCCAAATATTTGAACGTTGTTACGATGTGACAGACAAAATTAAGAATCTTCCAGTCTACACCCTAAACAAATTGGACATAAGCAACTCATTACTAAGGAAGGAGGACAAGGACTCAATAGTTTGTTCAATAAGACAACCTGCGGGAGTGCCTCAGGTTGGATTCAAGTGGTCTTTTTGAATTTAGTCCCTCCATGTGACCACTTCTACTACCAATTGAATTCAAGTCCAAGGCAAGAGCACTAACTGAACTTCCTCTTTCTAGTGTTCTCAGTACCTATTGATGGGAAGGAAGCATTAGTTGCATCACCTTAAAAATGAATTACAATTTCAAAGGAGAAAAATGAAATTAATATTGCACCTAAAATGAAAAGAAATGCATTCTGAGGTGAGTATAAAACCTTTGACATGGGTGGTCTCAACTCAGGATTCTGCCGTAGACACAATGATGCAGCATAACCCATTGCCTGAATCTCATAGGGCAAACTTTGTGTTTGGAAAGAGGCCAAGCAGGAGTCCAGCAATTGATGCTTGTAAGCCAACATATGAATTGGTTGTATTGGTTCAATGGCAGCTGAAGGATGGAAATTATTGACCAAAAGTTGACGGTCGATGCAACATAGCAAGTCACTAGCTCTTTCACCAGTGATTAGCTCTAATAACACCAGACCAAAAGCATATACGTCGACTTTCTCTGTCATATTTCCTCCACTGAAGTATTCTGGTGCAAGATACCTGGATAAGTAGAAACAGAGAATACTTAATCCAAAGATTCAACAACCAGAAATTGCTACTGGTTTTTAGGTTGAACTCAGTGGAGTAACCATAAACTGAACATATGAATAGCCAACGGTGTCTCATAAAAAATTCAAGTTCGATGTTTACCCAGAAGTTTTAACTATTTGATCACTGTCGCAAAAGTCCCATTCGCAATGCAGCCTTCCAAGTCCAAAATCAGCTACCTAAATTTAATGGACAACATAGTTAGACTAAAGAAGTAAAGATCAAAGGGACAAAACAAAGAATGGTTTCTTAATGGTCAAGATTAACTAAAATATCTACTAGAATTCCAAGGAGTTGCTTTCTCTCTATTGCTATTGACGGATAATTTTTGCAGAAATAGTTTGTTTACTCAGACAGACACTAGTTAGTAATTTCGAAGAACGTAAAAGACTTTAAACACTACATGCCTAACATATTCAGCTTGAGAAATACATGCTTCTAGAACATCGATGACTTATACCAGTGGTTCGAAATCATGTGTTAAGAGGATGTTGTTTGGACGCATATCTTGGTGAATCATACATCCCACTCTGCAATCTTCATGAAGATATCGTAAGCCTCTTGCAGTCCCGATAGCTATCTTTAAACGTGATTTCCAATCCAGTGTCATTCTTCTCTCTCCTGCAAATTGAATACATTAAACCAAAATAAATTTTGAGGAGCTATAATCAGTAGCTGAACTCGGAGGTAACAGAAGATACCGTGTAAATGGAAGTCCAAGGAGCCATTGCATATGTACTCATACACCAGTAATCTCTTCTTCCCTTCAATGCAAAAACCTAGGAGCAACACAACATTTCTGTGCTGGGCACAGCTCAATACTCGCACTTGTGTGCAGAAATCATCATCTCTTTGAGACCCAGCCAGCTTTAATCGCTTCACTGCAATGATCAACCCATTCCTCAAAACCCCTCTGTGAACCAGACCAAACCCACCTTCAGCAAGAAAATTTTTATCTGAAAAACCATCTGTAGCTTCCTCTAGCTCTCTATAATGAAATTGTCTAGGAGGTTTTCCAAATGCTGGAGCCTTATATTGACATAGTGAACACAAAGGAGGAGGATTTGAGGAAGTTCTTCCTAAAGCCACAGCCTCCCGGATTCCATAGTTGAATTCATAATAACTGTCAAGGTTTTGATTAAGCTTAGTTCCTCCTATTATATCTTGATTAAATTGTACAAAATTATCCAGTTCAGTCCTGACAGTGGAAAATGCAGTACTGGATATATCTTTGCAGTTCCCAACTTCCAGGGAATTCTCAGCGACAATGTGGTTTTGAGGGATCCAAAAGATTCTTTTATCTCTTTCAGTTCGTGAACCTGGGACTGTCGTAAATGATTTAATACTTTCCCTTAAAGGATCCAACCTATTTTTTCTACCAGGTGGGGATTTGCCTTTATTTAATCCTTCGTAAAGAGGATTTTGTTCAAACACAACAAATATAGAAGCCCCTGTGTCTGTGCTTATTAACGCATTGGTGCCTGAGTTTCTCGTGCAAGAAGTACTTGGATCATCTGGACTGCTAACAGGAGTAGAATGCTTCATCCTCTGGCTCTGTAACTTCTCACTATCAAAAAGAGGAGAAGCAGCAGCAGAATAAAATGGTGTTTCAAGATCATTTGAGCAGGACAGATTGAGCCGAAGAATTTTTGGCCTGGAACCCTTCATGATTACAATGTTGCACCGCAGCTCATCCATGCAATTCTTGAGCTCTCGCTTCAGTTTCCTGTATTATGGGAACAACAGTAAGAAGAAAGTAGTACTGAAATACTGCATTTTATTTATTTTTTAGTATTCGGGCAGATATACCAAAGTAAGATTCAACAGAGAAGTGAAAATGTTACTTGTCAAAAAAAGAAAAGAATCAGTGAATGAACATTGTGAAATGATGGCGAAAGGCTTAAAATCCATCTGCAATCTCTATAGGTAAAATCTAAAGTATTTTCACTACTCACTCCATGCTAAAAAAAAAACTTTAGTTGAACAAGTGCATACAAAATTGCACTTTGTGCCTGACAAAGCCTGACGGAACCATGTAAACGATCAGGGGAAATGGGAGAAAAATTAATACTGACTTGTCAATTTTGAAAAATTTATACATTTGATTATCGCCTCTATAGATCTTTTTAAACTTCTGTGTAAAATGATTCGTTGGCGACTGTCAAACATGTCAATTTCAAAAGTTCAAAAAGATCTATAACTGACCCCCTGATCTTTGTTTGAAAAGTTAATCATCTTCACTATAGAAGCGATAACCAAATGTATACACAAAATGTCTACTCTAACCAAATTCAAGGAAAAAGTTAATATAAGAAAAAACTGTTGAACAAATCAATCTTTGTGGAAATTTTTTTCTTAAGATGCAATATATCAGAGGAAAGAAATAACATATTTACGTTTATTTACTTGTCCAATATGACCCAGTTAGCTACATTCCTCTTTGCTTCAGCTGCCACAGAACCTCCAGATCGAGCTGAGACAACCTTGATTTGCACTCCAACCTACAACCAACAACCGATCTTAAAAATCTAGCGTTCAGTAACCCAATTTTTCTTGGTTATCACACCTGATACTGCTATACTAACTGTTGGTTGAATTTAATAGATAAACAATTGCTCCTTGTTCACAACAAAGAAAGAAGAGAAAAAGTTCCATTCATCACTAATTATAATTACAAATCAACATATCATGACATTCACACTTCAATTTTTGTTTGAATGAAATCAGCAAAGGGGGTTGACTTAATAACTGTTGAACTCTAATATATGAGACAGATGATATAAAAAAGGAAATATGACAACAAAACAACGGTAATGACTGTTAGCCGCAATGGTTTTCCTTCATGTTGTAGCGGAGGCTGGGACTCTGCCTGCTCAATAACTTTGCAAAAATCATTCTTGCTCCATTGCCTGATAGAAACTCTATAAACCATACACAGCAGTTTTCACTTGATGAAGACAGGTTGATAAAGGGTTCACTGGGTCAAAAAAGGGAGGGCGGCTTTTAAAATACAGTTACTTTATTTTCATTCTTCGTCAGGACATGTTTCTTTTATTTCTAGGCTGCAAAATGTGCTTCTGTCCATTTGTTATTTGGCACTTCAATCTACACTGACAATATGGCAGGTTCGATTGTTTTGGCTGTTGCCTAAATTGGACTGCAATTTCTGTTATTTGATACATTTACAAAGTGAGATCTGAGAATTTTCTGTACAAAGTTCTTCTGTGTATTGTCAGCTTTGTGAAGAAATCTCGGCGTAGATCTTCTCTTAGGAGTTGAATGGTGTTTGGTTAATTGATTCCCACATCACCACTGTTCCCAAATACTTTAGGCAGTGAAAGCCAAGACGCCCACTTGTCTACATTTTATCAATATTCTAGCATCAAATTAGTCCCTTCCTTATGTAGATAACAAAGTGTATTAAATTCAAATCACGATAGCACTACACCCCAAAGTAAACAACTGGTCATCGGATCCAAGAAGAATTTATTCTTTTAGCTATCTTTGGAAATTAGCTTCCACTTTCCATCTTTCCTCACCTTTAAAGCTCTAAGATCAATATTTCACCCAAGTATGTCTATTCAAAAGCATTATTGATACTCAATAATTTGAGTTAATTATACATTGTAGATGATTCAAATCAAGCACTAATAATGCATTGCCAATCCTTATCTTTTTCAAGGCCAGTGCAACCCTCTAATAACCGTATTTTTTAAAACCTATTATTAACATCTTAACATGATTAGAATCTTGGATTCCCCCATAATATAATTAACTTTCCAGAAAGTACAATCAACGATATCTCATTTTAATATACAGTAATTTGCTTCTAGTCCTAAAAATTCGTGTCACATTACCCGAAGCCAAAGTTAATTGCTTTATTTGATTTCCTTTGAAATTCCAAAGTAAAGTAGTGAGCTTTTGACTATTATGAATGCCAAATCACCAAATAAAGCACATAAAGTTGTTGACGATACAGAAAAATTCAAATACAGATGCAAAAGTTGAATTTTTTCTACCTGAATTTGACCGTGAAATTGGAGAACCATCTGAGAACAAGACTCTGAGATCTCTCCGATCCTATCCAATAACTTATTCCGGTCAGCACTCCGACAGTCCCCTTTCAACCTCGGAATCCCCCAAAATCTCCTCCCAGCTACAATGTAAAAACGGCATCAAATTACCGTTTAAACAATAATTCTGATAAACGTTGACTCAAACACCCACACCATATTCGCCAAAAAACTACTCAAGGTCTTTCAGAATTTCAGTATAGTAATACGAGCTGGAAATTCCTACATAACAAATTAGTACTTACAGCAGAACATTAACTGGTGAATTAAACACAAATTACACTAAAATAATTGAAAATTCTGAAAGCGACACATAAAAATAATTCTTCCAGGGTTGAAGCGAGTTTACCGGTCATCTTGTCAGAGAAGACGGCGAGGAGAAGAATGCAGTCTCCGGGCCGGGCCACGTGTGTAATGGCCCAAGACAATGCAGTATTGGAGATCACCTTCTCTGCTTTCACCGTCACGATCACACTCCGGGAAGTTGCGTCGACGCCACATGGTGGCATGTGAATAATTCCTTGTGGTTTTGGCGGGAACATCAGGTTATGTCAAATAGTCGCAGGCTGCAAAAAGTCTGAACGGAGAAATGTGTGTGTGGAGAAATGCTGGAGGAGTTTTATGGAGATCGATTTGGCGTTTTGTCAAAATTTTATGGGGGTTAAAATCGGAATCTACTACTGAATGGGTCATGAATGATTAGTTTGTCGATTACGGAGCTTGTTTGGTAGGAATTTTGAGAATTATTTTTTGATCGTTAGAGATAAAGTATGTCTTATATGTAAGAAAAAAATTTTAAAATGACGATTGGAATAGTGAAATAAAGATCAAAAAATTAATTTTAATTGGCTTAAAATCGTCACCAAACAAGCACATAAATACATAATATTTGTAACTCTCCATATATATATATTATTGTTATGATAAATTTAAAATTTTCTAATTGTTTTCTCGATTATATTGTCTTTATATTTTTCTCTCAACTTTATAATGCATTACCAGCGCAAAATTTCAGTCAAGAAAGTAAGCGAAAATAATTCTTATAATCTATTCAGAGAAAAAAGAACAAAAAATCAGTGAACTGCTTTCATTTTCAAATTGTTAAAATTTGGGGTTCATTTTTAAAAGGTCAACTTTGTTAATAGTAGTGGTCTAATCCTTTATAAGTTAGTCTATATTTTTCATCTTTAATCGATATGAGTTTTTATTCCTTGACATACCCCGCAAAATGGTGGTTTGTTTGAACAAATCAATCTTTAAATTCGTATGCTCATTTATTGAATCTTAATCGGATCGAATTACTCGTTGGAATTTAATGGGCTCTGATACCATGTTAAGACTTATAGTTCCAATTTAAAATGTCAACATTGTTAAAAGGAGTAACTCAAAACCTTATAAGTTAATCTAACATCTTTAATCGAAAAGATTTTGGGCCCGTTTGGGAGGAATTTTGAGAATTAATTTTTTGATCGTTAAAAGAAAAGTGGGGTCCACCTATGAGAGAAGACGTCAAAAATTACTGCTGAAATAATGAAATAATGGTCAAAAATTAATTTTTTAGGGTAAAAAATCCCTCCCAAACATGTTGTTTATCTCTTCACACAAAATATAAGAATAATATTGTGTTAATGCTCCAAAGGAAGCATTATGCTCTTATCTATATTTCAGAAGAAATTTGGCTTGATGTTCGTACCCCTGTTTATACAACTATATAAATATTTAAGAAGACCATTGTGATTTTATTTCTAAAGAAATCAAAATTTGTAAATACAAATATTCTAGAATACTATTGCAAAAGATTAGGCTTTTTATTAGGACAATCTATAATTTGTGTGTTATTGAGCCTAGAGCTAGATTTTTAAAGGATCTTGAACGGACTATAACCAGATATTGATTCGTTCTAATGCATTGAAATCATAATCCACGTTAACTTCAGCTTCAACCGGAAGTAGCCCAAGTTAAGGCGAAGGCGTTAGTTGTTTTGGCTTTGGTTTGGTTAATGTGCAAATTGAAAACCTACAAATTCTAACAATGGTTCGGTGGCCAGAATTTGTTTTTGGTGAATGAATCTTGCTTGAAAAGTGTAAATCACAAGGCAATATTCAAATAGAATCTTAAGCTGCTTGGCAAATTAGGAGTCATACCAAACCAACACTGAATGTTTTCTTGGAAACAAAACTATCATATGTGAGTTCTTGAGTCTAATATGAAAAGATTGCGTGCTACTTGTTCATGATTTGTTAGTTTTATGTTCATAATTGATCATTTGAGCATCGTTGGTTATATACTTGTATTGGTGTTTTGTTAGATCCGTACCCAAAACATGCTTGCTATGCGAATAGAATTGAGAACGAGATTCTTACAGAATTCTGGAGTTACCCAAGCAGTGTATAATTGTTATTTTTTATTTTTATTTATTTAATTTTTGCGATAGTTGAATTTGTTCCTTTAAAAATACCGTATGAGTAAATTGAAACATGTGATAATTTGTTTATTCTTTTGTCAAGTAAAAAGATGGGAACTAGTAAATTTGAATTTGAGCTTGAGACCTCGTCTCTAATGGAAGGGAGATTTCTCTATTTGTCAACAAAAGATAGGTACGTAAGAAACGCTATTGAGTATGACATAAACTCTTCGACCAGTGAATTTGTCACTAATTATCTTATAACCAAATCTAGATGTTAAAATGAATGTCGACACCAATAGTTAAGAGGAAATAATTAAAAGAAAGGTGTGGGAAGATGTAGGTCATGTCAATTTCATTTCTGTCTATTGAGGGTACCATCAAAAAGAATAGCTGGACTTTGAAACTAAATGCCCTCACAGTCACACCCTATCTATATATGTGGACATGAACATAAGGCCATGAAAGAGATGCATGTGAATTGATAAACGGATGAGATTTTATGACGAAGACTTGACCTATTCATATACAGTACCGTAGTCAAAGGAGAAGAAGATATAATGATAGCCAGAATGTTATCACGACAGGTCACACAAACGGTATGTGATTGGAATTATTCTGCAATTAATGGCATCATTCTTAGTGGTTCTCAATCCATTCTCCAGCGTTCACGAATTGAAATAGCCATAGTTAATTAGTTCGTTTTCTCTCGTGAACATTTGAAACCTGACATGTCGTGGCTTTAAACATTAATCTGTGCTTGAGAGATAGGCGTTCATACGTTGATAATTCACGTATAGATTCTCGAGAAGAGAGGAGCCGTGGTGGTCCCTAAAACATTTCCAATTTAGCGCAAATATATTATGATATTACATAATAATGTCAACTTGATGTCTAACAAAATGACGCATATTTTTAAATGGTTTTAAGAGATACAACACTTGATAACTCTACCCCATCCGAAATTGTGATGGAATCGCATCATTCAAAAGATTTCGACATAAAATCTTTTCACTGTTTTTGTTCCAATCCTATTGTTCTTCTTGTCGAAATAATATTTTTGAGGTCATACAGAATTTAGTTAATTAACATTTTTAAAGAATTCTAAGTCCAAGTAATACAACGGCTACTGTACAACAAAATAGATAATTTTATGAGAGGATCATAAAAAGAAAATCAAGCGTCTGTTTGATTGTAAGAATGAAATTTGAGTGTAAAGAAAACAAATTCCTTGAATTGATACTGGGAATAGAATTTGTTTCAATTGTCCAAAAAAATAAAAATTATTGAAATACCAAAAACCATCAAACCCATGGGAAAGCCAATTCTTCCAAAAGGTGGAAAAAAGGGGGGTCACATGGGGGTGCTACCAAGAAAATCAATTGCCAAGAAAATTTGGCCAATCAAACGTGTAAAAATGTGAAAAACGAATTTTAATTTTTTATTTTCATGAAAAATTTGTGCAATCAAACCTAGCCTGAAACAAAATAAATGCAACCATGGTACAAGGTCACCCCGTTATTCGGCCTGTCAGGGTTTTGGGACCAGGCACTGAAGCCCACCACAGCCTGTTCCTTAATTGGACCAGACTGGCTCCAACGAGCTTGTACAATTAGTCTATTTTCACACTAATGAATTCAAGAAGTTATTAATGCATATTTGACAAAAGTTAAATTATAATTTAAATTGATCAAACATACTATTTAAATTATTCACACGCTATCACTTTATAACATTTTTAAATATAGGCCTGTTTGGTACCCATTTTTTTAAAAATATATTTTCTCTCTCTTCTTTTCAAGCACACATTCTTTATTAAAATAATATTACACGTAAATCAAATTTTTTTCTTATTTTTCAACCACACATTTTCCATCAATTTACTATTCAAAAATGCATTTTTATATAAAAATGTCTTCCAAACACCCCCATAACTTTATTTTGTCCATGTTTGATATAGATTAAAGTTTGATAAATTGATTTTGATCTTCAATAAACAAGGTTTCTGAGTTTATAAGTGGGGTCACCTATTGGTTGAGATGAGAAAGTAGCAAAGGATTCATGTAAAAAGTTCCGAACAAAGTGAGAAGAAGTTTGCAAGACTTTCCCACGTGACAAGCAACACAAAACAATAGTTTGTCATAAGAAAATGTATTACTATGTGGTTATACAGTATTCAAAAATTGATCTCCTGCTCACAGTGGACATGACAACATAACAGTGGGAAGGAGATCAATTCTAATACAGCATTTGTAATTTGGTAGCTGGACAACTCAATCTTAGATGGTAAAGGTGGCCTTTGATTTGAGTTCGAGCATTACAAGTTGACTGAAAATAAACTA